CGCGATGTAGATGTATAATGACCAGTCCCTAAAGTAGAATAGGTATATTACATTCCTTGCTATCCCGGATGAGATAGGGGTGGGTAGAGATATGCTCTGTTACTGGATTGGACTACAGAACTAAGGATCGAGTGTTCCTTCGAAGCGTTTATGTGTAGAGCTTAAGGATAATTCATCTAATTTACACCGCCTAGGAACAAGAATTGCCGGAAGTTGTTTTTTTGAGGACAAGACCCGACATGTAAATGAGGCTAATTCAAATGTAACCGTAAGGGTTCTTTACAAAAACGGAAAAAGGAGGGAGAAAACGTGGTCAGATATCAGTTAGGTAGATCTCAACCGAAAAAAATAGCGTTTTATAACATATGTAGTATTGGAAGAGGTATTTACATGCATGAATAATGAAGATTGAATAAAAAAAAAAGGCACGTACATATTTCAGTATTTTCGGTCTTACTATTTTTAGGCGGAGCCTTTACAAAGGGTCTCAATGGGGTGATGGTTTTTACGGCTGACGGCCAATTTCTTTTCGTTAGGGTTAAAAGTAAAATTTTTACGATTAATTTTTCCTTACGACTGACAGTTATAAATTTGTCAATTTTTAAACCTACCAACTCAACAATGGGACTCCCTTTACACCGTGGAAAATATGGAAAACCAACCAAGTCGAGGACATCAAATTGTTTTGTAATGCTTCCGTGCGTTCCAGGGGAAACGTTGCGCAACAGTCGCAGCTCTGTTTCTAGAAAAGCCCCGTAACCAAAAACAATGGCGCTCACCACAATTCGCAACCTACAGATCGCAACCCACCCGCTTCGCTCTTACTTTCGTTGTATTTTATTTTTGAGACAGTGAAGCGTTTGACAATTGTTGTATGTAGTAACCCACCCCTTTGAGTGTCTTCATTTACATATGTTCACGCGTAACTAGTTTGGTCCACCAGTGTTCAGTAAGAACAGGTAATTGAACACGTCGGTTTTGGCGCCAACTGGGACGCGGCTGCCGCTTCGCATACTTCGTCGTATCCACTCTGAAGTTGCTAAGGCAACGTATTAGTCCAAGCTAACAGATCCTCGACTTCCTGGTCATGAGGTTCCAGGTCTCTCGCATTTGTTTCCGCCGGTGAAGGAGCATAGGTCTGAGTTCTGGATAAAGGAGTCTCAGTGCCGGAAAGACCTCCTGAGTGACCTTAAATTAAAAAAAACAAATATATAACTCTTTGAATCCAAAGATTTAATTAAAATCACATCAATTTCAAGAAAAACAAATCTCGAATCTCTGAGCCTGTTTACTGAATGATGAAAAAAATCTTACAGGGAGAATTTGCATGTAAATCATTTGTGGGAGAGTCCTTTGACGAATGATTTGTAAACCAACAGCTTAAATTCAATTATACACAGGCTAAAAATGCTACAATGTTCGTAAACTATCTCCAAGTTCTTCATGTGTCTGTAACTTATGCCGATGTAGTTTGGGATAAAATCAGTTTCCATTTAAGACGGGTTTAGCTTTGAGCGTTCGTTGCATGGCAAACATTCAACTTCTAAAAACCGCTTACACCTAAACTGCACATGAGAGAAAAAAGAGGACCTTGAAGCTAGTGAAGTCTGCATCTCCCTGTAATGTATTTGTGTTACAGTATCGGTGCTGAGTACAATGTAGCTTATTTACTGTTTCAAACAAATATGCTCTTCAACGCCGAAGTTGTTACTAAACCATTCTGTGGTCGGTTTGCCTGTAGACGAACTTTAAAACTTAGGGCTTTCCTCGCCGAAAATATCATTCGCCGGAGCCCAGAAAGAATAAACGACTTTCCTTCCTTTGCACACGTCATCCTCTCAATTTGCACCATTCTGCAGGCCTTTTGCCCTAACAAAAGCTGTTTTCCAGCCCACATTCTTTTCTCTCCCAGTACTTAATTTTTCCGTGACGACGTAATGAGTATAAAGAAAAAGCCTGAACACGAAAAACACTGGCACAAACCATACCTTGCTGTTTAGGAAGGTAAATCTGTTTCAGTAACTGAATCCTAGTGGTCTTCAGTTCCGTTAAGTCCCGACCATCTCGCCCAGTATCAAAGTTTCCGTACATTATGGCGTTATGCTCTGTCAATTGTTTGTGAATCTCCTCGTGTAATTCCTGTTGCGGCAGTCCAAAGTGTGTGGCTTGCAGATTGGAATCGGCCTTAAGAACCTCACTTAGCGGATTATTTGAACTCAAAACTGGTTTAGTTGTAGCTATACCACTCCACATTGCATGATAGTCATCAAACGAAACTTTCCCGATTTTCGAGCTCTTTTTTCTCTCGTCAGGAGTTCTCGCGGGTGGCTCGGGATCTTTACGGGACATTCGAGTCAGGTCCACTTCCTCGGCCGTGTGAGGTTTGAGGCCAGCTAAATTAAAAATGCGCATACGTGAAAGATCAATTTTACGTAGTCTCTATGACTAGCCGCTGCTCAAGAACTAGGAACCTGCGTTTGAGTAGAATCGAGGGCTCGTTAACAGCGCGGCCTAAATGAAGCTTTTATAATCACCTAGAATTCTTTTCTTTTTGAAACTGTATAGTGTAAAATCTCTTACAACAATATGTCTTGCCAAGTTTTCCATCCATCGAGTGCTGCAAGATGAGAAGCGTTACAATGCTGCCACAATCTTTTGCGCACTGCAACACGCATAGTGTCGTAAACGTTATATTACAGAGGCCCAGCTTAAGTATGGGAGAAAATTTAAGAACATAGCCGTGTATGGCAGAACTTGTAAAGGTGAGTGTAGTTAGACTTTAAATAGGTTTTCCATGATCACTCACTTCTGCTAATATTTGCCTTGTCGCCTCCCCCCCTCCCTGTTCTCTTCTCCCCTCCCACCCCTCCCTTAAATGTACAATTCTCCTGGAGTTCACATGAATTTCTTTGAATAAATCTGTAGCAAAATAGCATTTTCCTTCGCCATTTTATCGAGATAATGCATTTCTCATTAAAGGATTTCCTATTTATTATGAGATTGGATGCAATTTGAGATATTCTGCAAAACTGCACGAGTCTATGCAAGCAGAAGCATGCCAACTTTTGTAAAGATCTTTTCACCTTCAATTCTCTTACTGGCAAGAACACAGTCCAGCACAGTCTGTCTGAAACCACTGGGTGAGGAAGCAAAAATTCTGGCAGCACTAGGATTTACAGCATCCTCAAGAACTGGATTTGGTAGCAGCATCTGTGAAATTTGACAAGAAATTGAAAGAGGTGATTTAATCTTTGGTTGTACAGTCAAAAATCTTAACCCTTTAACTCCCAAGATCTGGTTGTTAGTTCTCCCCTCTGGCTGCAACACATTTCCTTGTCAATAAGTTATGAGAATTTGGTGTTAGATCAAGATGAAAACTTCTACCTGATATATTTGAGTCTTCTCATTACCTGTTTGCTGGATAGTGCACGGATATTGTAGGGAGAAATTACTTGTTAATCACTTCTGGGAGTTAAAGGGTTAAGGTCTCCATCCATCAAGAGTTCAGTATCAATAACTCTTCAACTCTTATTAATTATTCGATGAAAGTTAAATGTCATGCCTGAGAACTAAACACAATGCCCAAACCAGATGCAAGCTGGGAGCTCTTGACCTGAAAGTCCAGCATGTCAAATGAGAGGCCACAGCACCTTGCAACATGAATTTGTTGGAATAAACACAAATTAGCAAATACTACATGTACCAGTAGGTATTTAATTAGAATCACAGACACAAAAAAGGACAAACTTGGAAGTTTGAATTACATGTACAGACATTACTGCATTTTATTTGTGTTTTGTTTACCTGGATACTGAGTAGCATATAAGAAATTGAATAAAACTCTTTCCAGCGATTCAAATCATCAAGAAAGTCTGCACATACTTGACCTGTGTCTGCATCAACTGAAAAGCAACAATGGCAAGAGACAGTTAAAATCTGAAGATTTTCTTTACTATAAGGATGCAAATTTAATTTTTCAATCATTACCAATAGCTTTATACTGCTTGTAAACTTTTATGGAATGATGGTCTTGATAAGAATTGGAAGGAGGAACCCAGAATACATTGCAAATAGAATAACGAAGATGATAAGTTTTAAGCCTGGTAAAGAAATAAAGAAAGATGTTTTTCGTCTTGTCACAAGCGTGGCACAAAGAAAATGTGTCCAGCATTAACTGCTAGGATCAGCAACATTGCTGATCCTAGCAGAATGCAGGACAAGTGTTGTATGTGAAAATATACGACTTCACAATGGGCCTTGCTCACCATAGAGTCTCTGTGGCTCAGCTAGTGGAAGAGCATCAGATTGTGAAATCCGAAGGTCTGAGGTTTGATTCCTCAAGGGGACTCAGAATTTTTTCTTTGTTT